TCCAATATGGTACAGCCAGGAGAGACATAAACATTTGTTATGTTCTAGTTTTCCCCGTCGCCAAATTGTTATGTACTCGTCGCTGAATTATTGTTATGGACTGGTCGAGAAACTAATAGTCCTGACGCGAGAAGGCGGAAATCAGAAGACCACTAGGTTTGCGATGATACTTCTATTGTCCAAACACAAGGAGACGAAAATAAATGGTCTCACACCAAAGTGGTAAGTAAGTAAAGTAGTTGTAAAGTAAAGTAGTTCACACAAATTGTGAATGCGAATATATATAAATAATTCAGACAAGCGTGGGAAAAATCATTAGACAGTCTTAACATGAATGGCTAATTATAATGGAGTGTCGATCCAATTATACATAGCGAATATAGCAGACATGCCAACAAACATATATGGATATATGTCACCAAGCAACGGACTGTCAACAAACACTCATATTATATATAATATAATAACATTAGAAATATAAATGAATTCGTATTTTGAAATGTGTTTCGGGCGGCATCTCACAGTGATGCAATCAATGAAGTCATTCGAGAATTTGAAACAAACTTTGTTTGAAATGGACCATTTTGAATGAATAAAAGTTGCAACACCTCCACCACACTTTTTCTTGGAACAAATACGGTCTTGTCGAAAAACACTGAAATTGTTTAGAGACACAATATTGTCATCGTATGAGTCATGGAGCCAGGTTTCTTGCAGAGTGACAATACCAGTATTGTGGTAGGTACTAGAAGACAACAGAGACTGAAAATCCAGAATTTTGTTAGGCAGGGACCGGCAGTTGGTACTAATGATAACTGGAACAGTGGTGTGATGTATGGGTGTAGATTTTAAGGCACGCTGCCAACCTCCATGGTGCTTTTTCTTGAGTTTATTGCAAATATGAAAGTTTTTGGGTTTACAACGTTTTATAAAATCCCGAGGGTAGATAATACGATTAGAATGCATAATGTGATATGTAAATACCAATAAAATACAAGTAAATAGATGCAAAATGTACATGGAATGTGGTAGCCCAAAAATATTCAAACAGGCCGCCAAGGTCATTCGATATATGATGATAGATGATACCTTGATTAGAATGACACACATTAGAACTATTTTATCTTATTCTTCATGAGGATAAAACTGACGATTTGCTTTCAGACATTTAAGGCACTTGGTCATAGGATATGATGACTCTGCAATCAGTTAATTGTTCAGAGTTGAAATATCTTGGTCAAATGCAAGACAAAGTTTTAGTTTTCCTTCATGTACTACCTGACTGAGGGGTTTTCAGCGTAGACTTTTACACAGAATAGAACCATTTACAGAAATGTAATAGATAAAGAATAGTGGAGTGATAAAATCATGATGGCATTTGCGCCCCCCCCCTCCAGGAAATATTCTGCACTAGATCACTAACGGTCTCGAATCATTGGCTTTAGCATCTAGACTAACATAACCAAGCACTGTGAGCTTGTTTACGTGGTTGGCTGAACCAAACTGTCAAAGAATTCATGCTCCTAACTCTGTGCTGATTCAATTCTATGTCTGTTAACATTGGTGGATAAGGAAGGCGATGGCTCAGCATGTACAACATATGATCAAGCCATCGGAGTCGATGTGGCTTCGCAACCCTACTGATTAACATCGTTATCTAACGTTGTACATCCTATCTCAGTATTGTTTTAGATACGTCAAAATTCAAGCGAAAGAGTGATCACATTTTGCTGAATAAAACATTTTCTTATGAAACTAATTTTAACTTGTACGCATTGCTTGAATAGTGAGCTGCCACAAAATCAGACAGTTCCTTTTCCAAGATATAATGCTCTGATGTAAGAATAGATTGTTATGAGTTGTGTGTGAAAAAAGTGGTTAATATATCACCAGGTATTAGGTGTCAAATATCCCGACTGCAAAGATCCTGGACCCATCGCTGGTTTCGTAATACTACGCCTATGCACAACAATCAATGCGGAACAATAGAAAACTGTAACGCAATACGATTGTCGATTCTTCCACAGATATCGAAAAAGAAGTGCAGGAGTTACTGTCAGCGAAGTCTGTAAATGAACGTTAATAGAATGTACAAGCATCCTTCTGATCATATTTCTCCAGTCTTCTGCAAACTAGTATACGGTTAAGCAACTATTCCTCTTCTTGTCTCCTATCAAATGGGGACTAATTTGAATGAATAAACGATCCCATGTTCACCAGCACCGACATAAGGTTCTAAAAGTTGCATACAAACATCCTCATTTATGAGAACTATGGTTTACTCTGAAACCTCATCATAATTGAAAGACGCAAATAGAATCAACTTCTTGTTTGTCAAACTAGTTCGAACTTTTGGCATAAGGCGAAAAACTGGGTTATTTCTCTGGGTTTAAAAGAGATAGTGCCTTCGCTAGATTTCGATACAAAATTGGAATCCAGATTATCGATCTGATATCTAACATCGTCTTTCATGGATTCATTGAAACCGGAGTGTGCAAATAATGCACCCCAGCTGATAAATTTCTCTATATTTCTGTGGCTAAATGGATGCTAAAATCAATTCTCTCAGGATGGGAATGATTACACGACTGCAAAGATAGTTTGCTCGTAAGCAATCTGATCAGTTTCACTTGGAAGTCTTCATAAAGCTTCTGTTACTGTTGTAACAGAAATGACGTCATTAGGACAATCAGTACCGAATAAAACTCGAATTGGAGTTCATCCTTTGCCAAAATATATTATGCCTGGAATTTCATATTAGTTTGTTTATTAGATGCATCACACACAGTGAAACAGTATTATTTACTGGATGACGTTTGGAACACAATTTATTGTTCATAATTATTTCATCAATTATAATCATACGATCTTGAAACTTGAATTTTATAGTTTTCTTTGTCCTCTCCTATTTGTTCTCCTTGGGAAAGTAGAATTTTACAGACAGGTGTTGAATCATTCCTATCACATGTATTCACTCGCAGTTGCTTCGATAAACAAAGCTTCTTTTATCAATCTCTCCTTCCATTCACCTTGATACTGTCATCCTATCCCATCCAGCCTATTGTATGGTTCTGTGTGCTATAGCTGAAATATTCTCTAGATTTCTTATCTTATTCGGATCAACCAATCTAGATTTTGATAGGTTTTAATGCTCGGCTAGTCTGACTGCCGCTATTCTACTAGTTTGGCCTATAAATTTGACCTGAAAAACATTGCAAGCAGGGCATTAGAAGAACTAAATTCTTTTGTTTAAAGGCTCCATAGGATCCACTATTTAACCGATAATGCTTATTTCTAATTGAGTTTGTTGTTGGTTTGAATGCCAACCACTTTTATTCCTGCCATGTTAAGAATTCTGAGTAAGTTTTTCGAGGTCTTTTCCTTTTATAGAATTGCTTCTGATGATTTAGATTCCTTATTGTTGGTGTTGTCTTGTGCATGTTTAACATGCATATCTCTTGAGATTGATAAGAGAAGTTTTGTTTATCGAATCAACTGCAAATACATGTTATAGGAATGATTCAACACCTGTCCACGCAGATATCTGGAAAATTCTACTACCTCTACGGCGATAGTGCGTGGGTAGCACAGCGATTAGGACACTTGCCAAACACGCACATGGTCCGGGGTTCGATCCTCGGCCGACCCACTCCTTTACCTCGCTAAGCCAGAAATAGTGCTGGTAAAGAGGAAAGGTTGGGCATGATGCTAGCAACCCCATCCTGTAAAATTAAACACTGCTACAGATACTTCAAGCCACTAGCTTGAGGCCCTATGTTCCACTGGGAGCGTGAAGGAAAATATCTATGGTGGCAAATAGAAGAGAAGAAAGAAAACTAAAAAATCCAAGTTTCAAAGTTGTTTGATTATAGTTGATGAAATAATTATGAACAATAAATTTTGTTTAAAACGTCATCCAGTAAATACTAATACTGTTTCACCGTGTGATGCATCTAATAAACAAACTAATATGGAATTACTTACAATCACAGTGTCCAAGTTTTACGCATATATATTATGCCTGCGTTGAACTGTCTGTCTGTCTGGATTCAACATAGAACTTGGCACCCAAGTGCAGCAGTTCGAGTTGCCACGTTCCATACAGAGGTGGACAAGAAGATGAGTGAAGAGAATCAATACAGTCTGACAAGTATAAGAGTGAAACAGAATGGGTAATGGTAGAAAGGAACATGAAAGATTACAGAGACTGAATACATCTGTGCTGGCCATTGACAACCATTTTCAGCCATGTCACTCATTGTCTCCAGCCATTGATTCCTAGAGTCAGTCCCGAGGGCCCCAACCCGGGAGTCTACATCTCCCTACCTGACTCAGTTTAACTGTCAAGGATTTCATGGATTGATGCCATGTGTTTGTTTGGCCATATCAGCTAGTAATGCCCGTGGGGGGAGGCGATGGTTAGGCATGCGCACCACGTGACCTAGCCATCTCAATCTATGTAACTTTATAGCCTCATCGATTGATTTTCCCTCTTTACCCAACACTCCACGCCTAACGTCAACATTACTTACCTTATTGAACCACCTAACGTGAGACAGAGATTGCAGACATCTATGATCGAAAGCAGTCAACCTTTTCATGTCTTCAACGCGTATTGGCCATGTTTCAGAGCCATAGAGAAGGACGCAGCGAACTGCAGCTGAGCAGTACACACGTCCCTTGGTTGATAGACGGATGTCACGCCTACGCCAGAGATGGTGTAAGTCAGCGAAAGCAGCTCGAGCTTTTCGGATCCGTGCTGAGATTTCATCGCCAATCAGTCCGTTGGTGTTAATACAACTTCCCAAATAGGTGAAGTGGTCAACATGCTCTATCACTTCACTCCCTATCACTAAGTTAGGAGTTGACGTGGTCCAGTCCTGTAGCAGCATCTTACATTTTGTAGGGGCGAATCGCATGCCAAACATACGGAGATGCGTTGAACTGAAGAACGCTCTCCATCCTTACACATTATTGTTCTATCTTTTCTTTTTCCCTAGATATATTCTATACATCACAGTTCAAGATCATGGGAAACCTCAACCGCTGAGCACAAATTCTATTATATACCTTAATATATTACCTATGGAAATATATCAAAGACCAGTGAATGACTTACCTGATTCTCTATCAGGAAGTCATACTTTATCCTCATCCTCCTTGCATTCCTCCTCCTCTTCTTCTGCATCAATCCATCAATTTAATACAGATGAATATGATCCAGGAGGATTCGGCGCTGATCACCTTCTTCATTTATCATCACAATCTTCAGAATCTTTAAATAAGCATCATAATTCACTATTATGGCCTACAACAATTGGTATTGCGTCGACAATTTTCCTTCTAATTATCACTATAATTGTTATCATTATTCTATATCGTGTGAAATCTAAATCTGCAAATGCTGAACAAGAGGAAGTAAAACTTGACGAAATCAATCACGTCAATACCTATAATTTAGATATCAGTCGATTGTCTGTAGACCAGAACAACACAACATATTTACCTCAATATGAAACTGACATTTTATTAAATTATATGGATCGAAGTAAATGTAACAGTCCGAATGGATCCATTCCAACAGGTTATATTCATCCAAATTTAAGCAGCGCAGCATCACTGAACATATATTATCCTAATTCGTCAAATGTATATGATACAAGCTCTTTCAATGAGTTAACTAATCCAAGTAAGTTTCAAAAATTTATATATATATATATATATATATTGTATTGCGTTGTTATTACTAATAAATTTTATTGCCATTAATTATTATTATTCCCTCGGGTTCCGAGTGGGACAGAAAAGAGTTCTGCAGTACATCTCCATCTCATTATGTTTTCTGAAGTCTTCTTTTAGCCTGGCTTCAACAATCCTCGCAAGGCTATACGATCTCTTCCAACTAACCATTGGATAAAGAAAGAACTATTTATCTACTATTTGGGTTCCATTTAAGAGTCTGTTTGGCGCACGGTGTCACTTAATGATTTCTTCGGCAGATATCTAATCGATCTGCACTTTTTTCAATGAAGATAGAAAGATTAGATTCGCAGTATAAAGTGACATCGTCATTCTACTACACAGCTTCTCATGAACTGCATATCACTACCGAAAAATACTGTGGTTATAAATACAATGAAAAAGAGAAGACGTTCAGCGAAGAGACTCTTTTCATTCACATAGCTATGCAATCGCATGTATATGTAATCATTTGTGTGTGTGTGTGTGCGTGTACTTGAGGTTTGTCAAGTTTAGATAATTGATCAGGTAATAAAAGAATGATCTAATGTAGAAACAAGGTTAATTGGACAGCAACTAGAGTAAGATTGAGTTAGTTTGTAAGTTAGATGACGTAATATAATTAACTAAAATGTTTCAACTTAAGTCAGGGTAGCAACAGAGGTAATTACAGGTAGAGAGAGACTAAGTAGAATCCGTGATCAACTCGTAAAACATAACAAATCCTTACAAACCAAAAACTATAGAAAGTTAATCTGATGCTCGCTAGTGACTTGCTACAGGTTGGAGTTTCCTGAGTTCTAGTGAGAAGTCGTGACCAGTGAGGTCCAATTAGATGTCACGTGTGTGGATGGATGTCCCACCAACGACAATGGTTGGGGTCGCGCTAAATTACGAATTGGTAGAAGTTAGAATTCACGAGCCATTGAATCGGGTCCCAGTGGCTGGATGGTATACGAGCTTGCCTTGTAACCGGAAGGTCCTGGGTTCGAAACTCAGTGGGTGCGTACTGCCGATGATTCCCAAAACTAGGATGAAACAGCAGCTGTCCAGTACTCCCTGGTTTTCAATGGTTCTCTAACTGATATCAATCCGTGATCAACTCGTAAAACATAACAAATCCTTACAAACCAAAAACTATAGAAAGTTAATCTGATGCTCGCTAGTGACTTGCTACAGGTTGGAGTTTCCTGAGTTCTAGTGAGAAGTCGTGACCAGTGAGGTCCAATTAGATGTCACGTGTGTGGATGGATGTCCCACCAACGACAATGGTTGGGGTCGCGCTAAATTACGAATTGGTAGAAGTTAGAATTCATGAGCCATTGAATCAGGTCCCAGTGGCTGAATGGTATACGAGCTTGCCTTGTAACCGGAAGGTCCTGGGTTCGAAACTCAGTGGGTGCGTACTGCCGATGATTCCCAAAACTAGGATGAAACAGCAGCTGTCCAGTACTCCCTGGTTTTCAATGGTTCTCTAACTGATATCAATCCGTGATCAACTCGTAAAACATAACAAATCCTTACAAACCAAAAACTATAGAAAGTAGAGAATAATGCCATTTAAATTAGAACTGAAATTGAGCAATTAAGTTGGATGACGTAACATAAATGACTAGAAATTGAGCGTTGGTCACGTCAGTAACAGTGGTAATGAGGTGCAGAAATGAAATCGGGTGGGGGTAGAGAACAAAAAAGTTGAAAATTTATTATATTACAATGGAGAAGACAAAATAATACTAATGAAGAGATAGAAGAGAGGAGGATTAGGTAGAATTTAGCTGTCGGGTAATAATATAGATTACGTCCATTGCAAGTGTAGTGATTGAATGAACCTCTTCTGTATGCAGAGTTCACGACTTAGCAAGTGAATCGCCATTGCTTCTGCAGTTTGAAGCAGTCTGATTCGTTCATCTTTAGGAAGACTACTTCTTACTTCGTAGACTACTTCTTACTCTGTAGACTACTTTGAAGTTTGTTTTGGAGTGTAGCTTGGTGTCCGGAATCTTTCAGATGTTCTGAGATGGAGCTGCGGGGACATCGTTTTTCTCCTTTGTAAAACCATGTTGATAAGTGTTCGGTGATACGTTTGGAAAGCGAACTCTGGGTACAGCCGACATACCTGGCTCCACACGAGCAGGTGAATTGGTAGATACACACTGATGAGGCCAGCAGCGGTAGCTTATGCTTCACGTTCACATGAATCATAGGTCTTGTGGAGAAGGTTAGTTGTAGTTCAGTTGCGAAGAAGGTCTTCTTAAGTGAGCGCAACAGTCGATTTTTTAATGTTCCCGTAGATATACCTCCACTGAATTGATGGTTCATGTAGAGTAGGTTTTTTCAGGAGGCTAAGAATGGGTGGCTTTTGTGGTCCAAGATTCATAGATTTTGCAATAAATCGTTCTGAATAGCCATTCTCGAAGAGGATTCTCTTGAGATTGTCCAGTTCATCTTCTATGGTGTCCGAGGTGCAAATTCCGCGAACTCTGTAGCTGAGTGAACAGATGAGGTTTCGTTTAGTGTATGGGGTTTCTCGACTGTTAAAATTAGTAATTTTTCCGTTCCACGTCGACTTTCTTTAGACAGATCCTTTCAGTGTTCCATCCTGTTCTCGTCTTGTTAGTTGGACGTCAAAAAAGGATAATTTGGAGTTGGACTCTTTCTCCAGCGTGAAGCGAATCGCGGGGTGGCAGTTATATACGACTTAAAGATGTCGTCTAGATGTTCAAGCTAATAATACAATAACGTAAAATAACATACAACCATGTTTGAATGGTAGTAAATGAAACGTTATAAAGTCAACGCATTCGAAATATGAACATTACAAGTTTGGGTTGAAGTTATCATCAATGTATATGCTTTAAAAAAATAGAAAACGAAGGTTATTATAAGTGTCTGACAACTAGCCATCCTAGTCACTTTGTAGTTTATAGCCGAATACCGTCATCGTTGTAACAAACATCAGGAATTAGCCAACAGTGGATCACATCATCCCTTAGAAGAACATTCTTTGCAGCAACGCTAAGAATAGTTTTCTCCAGTCGCCCATTGATCTGCAGAAGCCTCAAGGACAAGATCTCTCATCTGACCACTTTTATGTGCATATATCAGTTCACCTGCTGCTGTGGAGTCAACCAGGTACATTGGTCGTTCGATACGCTTCCTGTACAAGAGGGTTCAAGAAAACTATCCAGCATGGTTGCGAAAAGGTAATAGTGGTGCAATAGGGAGTGAGATGAATGAACACCTGGTGAACACTGGTCATTCCATCTGAATGAACGCCTCCTTCAAACTTATCTACAGAATGAAGAATAACCTATCAAAGGCAATATGGTTTCGTCTCCTTTGTATCGCTGAAGCTTTGGCCATTCACATAGAAAAACCGGAGCTGTGCATACAAAAGAGGATTACGCAACCACTTCAACTGTCATGGTAACAACCATTTTGATTTTATTTTTATTTTTGGATTTTGATAACCTTATTTGTTTCTTTGCCTGTTCTTTAATTGCTTATAATTCTTGTATTCATCTAGAGCTCTTACATAATTTCGTATTCTCCACTTTGTTCCTATGTGCATCCTGAGTACAACTCACTCATCAAACTATTCATACTATTATTACGTTACTTCTTTTAACAACTGTTTGTGACAACTCATCACCTTTGTTACTACCCTAATTTCATTAACACCTAATTTTCTTCACTTGTATTACCGATCTTCACCTGTTTAGTTAAAATAACCATAATCAATTGTAATTTTAGATAAAGAAAGGAAAACGAAATTTGCAGTATAAAATGATAACATCATTCTATTTCACAGGTTCTCATCAGCTGCAGACTACCTGAAATTACATTGGTTTTATAGATGATAATAACATACTATAATGTTTGAATGGTAGTAAAGAAGAGATACTTTAAAATTGACGCATCCAAAACGATCGCAATCAAACGACTTACACCAGACTTATGCATACAGAAAGAGAGTGTGATTAACCTCTCACTTCCTTTCATTTTAGATGCGTCAATTTTAAAGTATCTCTTCTCTACTACCACTCAAACATTATAGTATGTTATTATAATCTATAAAACAAATGTAATTTCAGGTAGTCTGCAGCTGATGAGAACCTGTGAAATAGAATGATGTTATCATGTTATACTGCAAATTTAGTCTTCCTTTCTTTATCGAAATTTATTAAAGGAACCAAATGTAACTTTGTTTGAGAAACTTTTAATGTACGCATACATACAAAATAACACGCATATATATTTGCGATTGTACAGCTAAGCGTGAATGAATTCGCCACAGAAAAGAGACGCTTCACTGATCTACGTGTTTTGTTTCCATTAATGCTTGGATAGGGATTATCCATGAACAATGGAAAGATCATGTATTCAATCGTCAACTCTACATTAGGCCAACAGATTTATCAATATTCTGCTTGTGGTTTTGAGGATATATAAGTACTCCATGAAACACCGCGTTGGGAACACCTCCATTTTTTTAAGATATATGTATTACTGAATGTTAGTTAAGTCAGAGATAAGGCCCGGTTTTTTCTGGATGTGTAATACATTAACCACTTGACGAATAGCCACTTCAATGTAACGGTTGAATAACCTTTAAAAACGAATAATTAGCAAGTGAATTAGTTAGCTACTGGGTAACCATTTCATCAATTTTCCCTCTTTTATTCTCCATTCTTTTGTCGTTTGCTTTTTTCCATTTCCCGCTGACAAATGAATGCTCTTAATGGTCATTTATTAGGCATAAAAACAGTTAGTTGGTTGGTTGGTTGGTTAGTTGTAAAGCATGACATTGTTATATCCAACTTTTTTCTCGGCTATACAAAGTTAACACAATTATTTTATTGCATGGAGGATTTCATCATGAGCTGACATCAGTTAGAGAACCACTGGAAAAGCAGCTGGGAGTACTGGACAGCTGTTTCGTCCTAG